TAGTGTAGTATCTCTGTCGCTGAAATCTTTGGCGTTCCACTGGTCGGACTCCATGCCCTGCGCGAGCTTCTGCTTCTCCGCCTCGCCGTGTTGCTGCACAAACTCTCGGATATGGCCGTTAACTAATGTCTTGAGCGACGTGCCACTCCGACCAGAAATGGCTTCGCACTCGTTCGCAAAATAGAGGTTGAGTGTGAAGTAGCGCAGGAACCAGTCCAGAGACAAGTGCGACGCCTGATCAGCTCGTACCTTGAGGACCTTAACAATTTTGTCCTGAGCCACATCGACAGCCTGACCGACAAGATTCGAAATGTCCATGGCTTTGTGTATTTCCTCTTGGATCTCAAAGGCTGACGTATCCAGTTGCGAGGAGTGCCTATCCGGGTTCGGGCTGGCCAGTGGTGATCGGATAGGGGGCGATTTGACGCCCGAGGTGCCGGAGCCTGACAAGGAGCTTGCTACGTCGAGTAAGACCTTGACCTGCGTGGTAAGTCTGCGAAGAGTCTCAGTAACACCAATGTAAATCGATTTGAGAAGATCCTCTGCATCCTTGGGGTCCAGCGCTCTCAGATTGCGCGCCAATATCGAAGACTTTTCTTTACTCGACAAATTCCGGCCGCCGCTCATGGTAGAAGCCGACATCATCGACTCGTTATCGTCGTCATTAGAACTGGGCAACGGCTTTCTGATCAAGTTTCTTATCTCGCGTAGGATGGCCTCGCGATATGCACTTGTAGCGATGGCAATATGCTTTGCGCGATGCAATCCGTCTAGGTTAGGTGGAATAGCGGCGCGCAGCTCGCTGGTTGATGTCAAGTATGTCGGTAACGCCGAAGGCTCTCGCGAGTGCGTTCCCCTGGCCCGCATTGATGAAGTGCCCCACCGCAGGAGCACATCCGCATGGCTCACGGTTTCGAGATGTCGCCGCAGATCACCCAGAAGCACGTTGGTGAACTTAGTCTCAAATACTTTCCCGACGCGGAACCGCAAAGTATTGAGATCGTCGTTGACGCCCTGAAGCGCCGTGGCTCCCCTCAGGTCTCGCAAATGAATTGCCTGGAGCGCAGGCGCCTTTGTTGCTGCAAGGCCGTTCTCCTCACCGACTTCGCCGGCAATCAGCAGCTCCAGCGAGTCCATCCCTGTCAAGGCTTGCTTAACCTGTCCTTCGTCGACAAGATTCTCGCAATTGCCCACACCTTCGACAATATGTCGTAGCTGCACTACCGCGTCGTTCAGCTGCTGTATATTTTCACGGCGCCGCCTCTTTTGCACAATGTCCAGCCCAGTCTGTGGAATCTCTTTGTCTAAAGCCTCCAGTTCTTGTCGTAGCGTCTTGATCCTATCCACCGACTCGGCGGCTTCGGAGTGAAGCTCTCGCAGGGAACCCAAAGCTGTGAAGAAAGTTGTAGACGCAGTGGAAATGGAGCTGATCAGGTGCATCTCGATTGTGTCCATGTACCACGATAGCTTCTCTTGCAAAATGGCATTCGTGGCGAGAGCTTTCCGAGGCGCCGCGGCGTGGCCGTTACTGGCCCCTCTTTCATCTGTGCTTCCTGGCGCGGGGCGAACGACTTCAGATCGCTCACTGACAACGTCAAATGTTCGTGGGTTCTCAAGATGAAAGTCGTCATCAAAGTACACGTTGGGGATTGTCGACAGAGGCGGCGGCCCCTGGGTCCCTTTGCGACTCGCACCAGATGATCTTCGGAGGGAACCCGGTGCGTCGAATGATGTGATGGACGACAATGAGGCGATCGAGGATTTGCGAGCTGGATAGGGCGGTCGACTCCCAGGCCTCAGGTGCCTTCGTCCGTGGTCTCGAAGGCATCTTCATGTTTGCTTCCTCGTCGGCTAGCGCCTCCTTCTTCTTCTTGTTCCTTGACTCGCTTCAACTGCTCATACAATGCGCCGACTTGCGACAGGTACGGCTTGAACTCGGCGGGGTCGATTCGGGGGATATTTGTCAGGGTGACGGGAGGAATGTCGCGGGCGGTTGGTGCTCTGTGCGCACTTGAGGCAGGTGCCGACGTATGCGGTAGTAGGCCTGTTCGGACGATCGGTGGCTGTAGAAGGGTTGATATGGCTAGGTAAACGGTAAGCCTTGGAGGTGCTGATCTAGGTAAGCTACCAACCATTTTGGCCAGACTCAGCAACCGAGCTTGCTCGGTTACTCGATGCTGTGTCTAGCGATCCTCCGATGGAATGTATGGAGCTCGCCGTGGAGCCTCGCCTGCCGAGAGGGTATGGATGTCCTTGCCCGGGTCTGAGGCTGCGTTAGTTGCCCAAGTTCTCACGAGAAGTGGGATATGGAGTGCGTTTCTGACCTAGCGCCATGGAAGGGAAATTCGGATCGGGAACCGGTAGGCGATAACGGCGTAAGATTATCCATGGATCTTCGTGAGCTTGGGGAAGAAAACATGGTTGGCAGGCGTCAAGAGTTCCGGCGACAGGATCGTGAGCCTGGGTCCGTGTGGGTGTACGGCTTTGCGATGGGCGGCGGAGATAGGGGAAGACCAGACAAGAGGATCAGGTAGATGGCCACGTCGCCAGGCTACCATGGTATCATCGCTAGCTGGAAAAGCAGACACCAGCAACAAATGAAGCAAGAAAAAAGACTACGTGTAACTCGGACGCCGGAGAGGCAATGCAAGCTGTAGTATCGGGTGTCCGTGAGATGCAGGCAAGTACAAGGACACATCCACACTTGAGCTCTGTCTCTACAGCAGATCGACGTAGCGAATACGTACCTTGCTGGGGCCAACAGCGCCGGGTTCAGCTCCAGCGACCTACCTGCCTACCCCGACTCGGTGCTCCCAGATGATCAGTGAATCAGCCGAAGTATTGCCAGCTCACACGTGCTGTGAACCCCCCCTGGCAAGGCTTTCGCGCCTTCGCCTGCAACCACTTTAAGTTGAATCCACACGCGCGGGTCCTTGTCGCGTAAAGCGCGTTGCCTGGTTGATTGCCCCCTCCTAATTCTCAGCCCCTCAACATCGCCCTTGATTCGAATTCGCGATACCTGCATTCGAAGTCGAGCGTAACATCCCCTCATTACCACCACCAGCCCGAGCAGTCACGTCGCCCAAGTACCGAAAGTTCGATTATGGATCACCGCTCAACCTATTCGGCTCGTGTCGGTGAGCCGCCGGCCGACCAAACCGACGGCACCCGCCTACACATCCAGAAGCAGCTCGAAAGATTTGTCCTCGACTTCCGCCACGATAACGACTATGTCTACAGGTACTTTCCCTGAAATCTGTTAACGTATTCCTCAATTTCTCATGCTGGTGCAGAAATCAATTGCAAGAAAACGCCTTGCTGAAGAAATACTACTGCGATGTCAATATCAACGATCTCATCAACTACAACGAAGAGCTTGCACATAGGCTGGTCAACGAGCCGGCCGAGATCATTCCCCTGGCTTGTGATGTCTAGACATTTAGGGTTTCCTGTGATGTCTGGCTGACATGTGTCGTCTTCTTTCAGTCGAGGAGCCTTCGACATGCACACACCAAATCCTCTTCCCTCACGATCCTAACGCACGTTTGCCCGAACATCAGCTCCTGCTGCATTCTAGCGCCGAGGAGGTCTCGATTCGTGACCTGGACTCGATGAAAATTTCCCGACTGGCACCGGTACCGGGCATCGTCATTGGTGCTTCGGTCATGTCCTCCAAAGCGTCGGAGCTTGTCATCCAGTGCCGCAACTGCCAGAACACTCAACATGTCCCCGTCTTTGGCGGTTTCTCGGGCGTCACGCTACCGAGGCAATGCGAGAGAAAGAGGCTGCCAAATGACCCTACGGAGAAATGCCCTCTGGACCCGTACTTCGTGATTCACGAGAAGTCACGGTTCGTCGACCAGCAGGTTATTAAGCTGCAAGAGGCCCCCGATAAGGTCCCCGTCGGCGAGCTTCCCAGACATGTGTTGATCTCGGCGGACCGGTACCTCACAAATCGTGTTGTCCCTGGATCCCGATGCACGATCACCGGCATCTTCTCAATCTACCAGAACAAGGGATCCAAGAACTCGTCCACGGGTGGTGCTGTCGCCATCAGGACCCCGTATTTGAGGGCTGTCGGCATCAAGACGGATATTGATCAGAGCGGCCGCGGACAGGTCATCTTTTCTGACGAGGAAGAGCAAGAGTTCCTCGAAATGAGCCGACGACCAGATCTCTATAACGTCATGGCCGAGTGCATTGCTCCGTCGATCTACGGAAATGCGGATATCAAGAAGGCCATCCTGTGCCTGCTACTGGGTGGATCGAAAAAGATTCTCCCAGACGGCATGAAACTGCGTGGTGACATAAACGTCCTCCTCCTGGGTGATCCGGGTACGGCCAAGTCGCAACTGCTGAAGTTTGTCGAAAAATGTGCGCCCATCGCCATCTACACATCCGGTAAAGGTTCCTCGGCTGCCGGTCTCACCGCATCCGTGCAACGGGAGCATACGACCCGCGAATTTTATCTGGAAGGTGGTGCAATGGTGCTTGCTGACGGTGGTGTTGTGTGCATCGACGAGTTCGACAAGATGCGTGACGAGGATCGAGTGGCCATCCACGAAGCCATGGAGCAGCAGACCATCTCCATTGCCAAGGCCGGCATCACTACGATTCTGAATGCCAGGACATCGGTTCTCGCAGCAGCCAACCCCATCTTTGGCCGTTATGACGATATGAAGACCCCTGGCGAAAACATTGATTTCCAGACGACCATTCTGTCTCGATTCGACATGATCTTTATTGTCAAGGACGACCATACGCGCGAGAAAGACGAGAGGATAGCCAAGCACGTCATGGGCATCCACATGGGAGGTCGGGGTGCAGAGGAGCAGGTTGAGGCCGAGATTCCCGTCGAGAAGATGAAGCGGTACCTCAGCTACTGCCGATCGTAAGTTGAGCGCCAGTAGCTCTGGTTCTTGATACATGTTTCTAACGAAAATCCACAGTCGAATGGCGCCGCGGCTCAGCCCCGAAGCGGCAGAGAAGCTTTCTTCCCACTTTGTCAACATCAGGCGGCAGGTTCACGCAAGCGAGATGGAGGCCAACACCCGGTCATCGATTCCCATCACCGTCCGTCAGCTGGAAGCCATCATTCGTATCACAGAGTCGCTGGCCAAGCTCACTCTGACGCCCATCGCAACGGAACAACACGTCGATGAGGCCATCCGACTGTTCCTCGGCTCGACCATGGAGGCTGTCAACCAGGGCAGCAACCAGGGCAGCAGAGAACTGAACGAAGAGGTGGGCCGTCTCGAGATGGAGCTCAAGCGCCGACTAGCTGTGGGGTGGAGCACCAGCTTGGCAAGCTTGAAGCGCGAGATGTGCGAGCAGAAGGGATTCAGTGAGCAGGCCCTGAACCGGACATTGATGATGATGCAGAGGCGAGACACGATCATGTTCAGGAACCAGGGAGCGCAGGTGTACCGAAACGCCATCTAAGCGATCTGTATCCGGGAGGGGCTTGGGGTTGTTGGAATTCTTGATGATTGATGCTGTATCCACGAGAAAGCGAAGGAACATAATGGCGCAGGGCAACAGGTAGAGGATGGACCAAATGGAGAAATGAGGTTCGTAAAAGAGCCACCATGTCTTGTGTATTGCCTGACCACTTCGGAAGCATGAGCCGGCCGCGCTGTCACATTTCCATGCCTGCTAGTCCCTGTCTACACTTGGCCGGTCAGCGAACCAGTTGAAGTGTCATGTGAACATGAAGGAGGGAGGGTGGTGGCCTGGCTGTTGTGTTCAGACACGGCCTATGTCCTCATCCTCAACCCATTCGAAGAGTCACCTCCACTGCGCATAAAGCACACAAGAGAGCATTCGTGGCTGAGGATCGGTTTACCAGATGTGTGTATCATCATTGATGTGGCACAGGCTACGAAAGGTGCGAATAAAGGAGTTCTAGGACCTACCTTGGGCAGACAGACATGGCTAAGATGTTTGTCGAACTTGATGCAAACAATGATATACTTGTGTCATCGACTCCAAAGTCGCGCGCCTTTTCAGACAGAATAAAGAGGTCGTGTGTTTGTGTGTGTGTGTGGTATGTCCAGATTTGCTTCAGGTGATCATCGTTTCATGGAAGCCACACATGGGGCCCTCGCGACAATTGTTTTTAAGCAATGGTGCATAAGCATCATTCTCGACTCACACAGCTATATCGTCCAACAGCAAATTTCCCGATGCAGAACAACGAGTGCCGGCTGGCGATGTGATGTTAGCTGTGGTGGTCTTTGGTTGTTAAGAGAAAAGAAGAGGAACCATGTGGCAGGCAAGAAAATCGTGAGCCTTGATAAACCGCCAGCCCACTCCAGGTCACATGACTTGGATGCCCGTGCTGTTTCCTGGGTGAATGGCTGGATGGAACGGTGGGGCAAGGAGGTAGAAAGAACAGTGGAGTGAGTACCTAGAGAGAGGTACTGGGGGGGGTGGGAAGTCGGCGTAGTGCACCTGCCTACTCCTCTCCGCTCCGATTCCCAAAGAAGCGGAAAGTCAGGCGAACGCAAAGAGCAGACGAACACTCCGCACGGTGAGCGCACGGTGCACATGCCACTAAGCGAGGTCATGTTTCGCTGCAAATTGCCTCGCCGGCTCTCTGGCCCACCCTGTCCAGCTCACACAGTCCCATCGACCCAGGCCACCCAGCGCTGACCTGACTTCACCCTCTCAACCACCTCATCACCTGCACCAGCCGACCACGTCAGGACCCTGCGAAACCAACCCGACCACCTCTTTCGGCATCGACCGTCGACCTTACGGATTGCGCTCACGCACCCGACGGCGTTGGAACACAGCGGCCATCTCTCGTTTCGAACATCCCAGCGGCGAATCCCGACGATCGAATCTGCGCGGCAAGGCAGAGCAAGGATTGCATGACGCTGGGCCTGGGAACCGACTTCAGTCGTCGGGCGCTCTGGCGCGACTCGCCACCACGTTCAGTTCATCTTCTGAAGCCGACCGACAACATCCCTTCTTCATCGCGCACATTGCAGACTCTTGTCTTGCCCGACAGCGTCCCCTTCTGCTCCCTGTAACAGCGAAGGGCGCTTTTCCCGCTCCTGGGGCCTGGATCTCGGTACCGGCTCCACCTTGACCACACCTCGGCTTGAAAATACACCCTCCTTTCTCCGACTGACGACGACGACAACAACGCTCATTTTAGTTCGTTCGGCGTCCAGATACATCGAGGCTTCGACGTCGGCTTCAACATGTCTTTCCATCCCCAGACCCCTCAGAGTCCTTCGCAGTTATCACCCGGTACCTCCGATCTTGCCTCCAGCATGAACAGTTCACTCACTTCGCTCACAACCCTGCCGACACCCGCCCACAGCGTCAACGGAAGCACATCTCATCCACCAGATACGTCTCACGACTACGCGATGGGTGACGACACGCCCCAGAAACGCAAACGCTCAATCGGCGACGTTGGCGAGCGAGACCAGAAGAAGCCCCACGTCGAGGACGGCAAACTCGATATCGACGACCTCCACCAGGATGTCGGAGAGAAATACCTGCTTTGTCAAACTCGTAAGGCCCCCTTCACCTCCGGGCTCGCCATTTCCTGGCTCTTGCCCCTGCATGCCCCTACTCCCCATTGCCCCTACCAACCCTTCCCTCCCTCCCTTCATGCGATGTTCCTCAGCAGGAGTATGATTTCAAGGTTGAGAACTGGGTTAACATAAGAGCTGTGCAGCACACCGCACACAAGAGTTCCCATGCATTACCGAGGATCTCTTTGAAATGTTCGGTCTGACAGACATCGCCGCCGAAGTCGCACGTGAGAAATCGAATGGTGACAAGACCATCAAGAACGGCCTGCGCAAGACCTACAAGGGCCACATCAAGCGACTGGGCATCATGGGCAGGTTCGACTCTGTCGCCCAAGAGTGGGAGGAGCCCGAAGAGGTTGATGATGACGGCGATCAAGACGAGGACGATCGTCCAACGCAGAAGAAGGAGAAGAGCAACGAGCCCTACTTTGGCTTTGGCAAGATCATGAACCTGAGCGATCCAGAGTTCTGGCACGGACGAAGCTACCTCATGCACGGCTTGACGCCTAGGGCGAGAGCAGAACTCCCCAAAGCGCTGGCGATGGCAAAGGGTCAGATCCCCGAAGGATTTGATGCCTCCGTGTTGAACGACGACAGTTCTAGACCCGCCGCCGCCGCAAGGTCTGCGGCTCCTGGCACCCCGATTGGCACACCTGGGTCGAACATGGGTCAACTCAAGCAGGCCCAAGGCATTCCCCGTCCGCAACGGGTGAACAAGAAGCGAGGTTACGGCGATAATTCTTTTGAGGGCTACGAGGGCTACGAAGATGGCTACGCCACAGGGCGATGGCGACGACCGTGGGAGGTCAGAAGCGCCGAAAAGAAGGTATGTTACGGCCCGACTCATCAGTAATCTGTCGCCATCTTTAACACATGTCCCCCTCAGGCTGTCGGCACACCACCAGTTCCAGAATGGCACGCCCCGCCCATCCTACGGGTCAGGAATCGGGGTTTAGGATGACCACTCGATCTCCAACGCCGCCGGCCAAGGACCGGGCGCCAAGGGACTCGGCCGCAATCAGACGAGCCATCAAACGCCTGGCGCGCAGGCCAGTGAGGCTCGGGGACCTCTGGTCAGCGCTCCCAAGACTGCTCCATCGAAAGAGGCTGGTCGCAAGGCCAGCGGCGGCCGGAAGCCCGCAGGCCCGAAGACGAGTGCCCGTCCTCGGAAGGAGCGTCAGAGTAACTCCTGACCTTCCCAGCCGTCGTTCGAACGAAATGATCCTCAGCATGATACCCAAGTCGGCCTTCGGCCCACTGCACACACACACACACACGCTCTCTATCGCTCCTCTTTACGGCCGCCTCAGTCTTGACTTGACGAAAAGGTTTCTTAATGGGGATTACAACGCATGCAGTCCACCCATTCCTGCGTTTATTGACGATTTCTTCTTTGCCACACCCTGGCACCTGTATAAGCACGGCGTTGGTTGGTTTTTGATGCTTTTTTTCCGCTTCTACTTCTTTTTCCTTCCTTTCTTTGTCTTTGTTTTTTCACATCTCGGACGCCGGGGAAGAAGGCCCAAAGGGAATACCCACCCCTTCCGCGCCGAACCACAAAAAACAGGGAAACAGTCACACAGGGGACGTCATGAAAGGTAAAGAAAGTGGACGAACGATGGATGGCACAGAAGGGAGGCCCGAGGCGAAGGACGGTTCGCTCTCGGAGGGGGGACTTCTATGCACATGCGCACACATATTGGCCCTGCTGGGCTTTCAGTACTATAGCACCGGGAACGGACTAAGCAGTACTTTTTGTTTCCACGAAAAAAGAGAGACTAGCCTTTGCCCTGGACGGGGCGAAAGCCTGCTTTTCTTCCTGAGCAGGGACCCCGTGGTCTTATCACGGGAGAGGTGCGCAGAATACTTGATTGTAGTTTTGCATCCCGGAATAATACAAGCGAAGATCAATGAACAGGGTTGCCTCTTTCTTGTCGTGGTCGTGTTGTTGTCATGCATGCGATGGAGCTACAGGCGAGCAAATTAAGCTGTCACCGAAGGATGATGGCATTGGGTATCATTGTAGATATTATCCTGACGACTGGCTCGGAATACTGGGCCAGACAGGTAGATCCCTGAGTCCTGCTGAGGCGATCTCTCTGCCTTTGCCGTGTCCATGCTCCGCAAGGCACGTACGCGTCGATCTAGCTCCTCCGCCCGCTCGCAAGACTCAGTCAAGTCGCAAATCATCAGTGGTCTGCGCCAGCTCGAGAATGGCCCTGTTCGAAAGGCTCTCTTGAGCCCACTCCACCACCCTTTGTCCAACGTTACCGACCAAGCCCTCGTAGTGAGTGCCTGGGAAGAAAAGACCGCAATGAGCGCCTACCTCATCCACACCCTCCATGAAGATTGATACCCACGTGTCGTCCTTTCCCTCGCCGACTCGACGCGGCAGCACACAAAACTTGCGCTCTTTCGCCGGCTTTTTCGCCTCGATAGCGCGGGCCTCCCTCTCCGCTGTTGTTGTGCGGCCTCGTGATGGACTTCCTTCTCGACCTCGGTCCGTGTTATCGGTGTCTGCTTGGCATTGCTCATTGGATGGCTGCTGCTGCTGCTGTTGTTGTTGCGCTTCATGAGCAGGCATCGGCCGCCCATCTCTTTCCGCTGCCTCGCGTTCTCTGTCGGCTGCCTCTTTCGCCCGCTGCTCGGCCTCCTGTCGCCTCTGTTCGGCCTCTGCCTCACGCTGTGCCTGTTCCCTGGTGTGGGACTTGGCTTGCGCTTTTCCAGCCTCCTTCTCTGACTTCTGGGTGTCCTTCTCAGCCTTCTTCCGCCGCTTGTCCGCCAATTTCTGGCGCTCCTTGATGGCCTTCTCGCGATTCTTCACGGCCTGCTCGTAGGTTTTCAGGTCGCGCTTGGCTTCTTTCTCTGCCTGGCGTCGAGAATCCTTATCTGGACAGGCATCTAGGTCTGGCGTCACCGGTCTAGGAGGCAGATCAGGAACAGCTGGCAGGTCTGCTGTGCTGTCATTGTGGTGCTGGCTCAAGCTGGAACTGACATGAACAACATGCTCGCTGTCGCCGACCTCGGATGATTCTGGAAACGGGTCAATATGCTGCATTGAAGCCGCCGGTGGCAGGTTGTCCTGTGCTGCAGCAGCTTCGGTAGGAGAGAGAAGCTTCTCCTCGACACCGCTAGGCTCAGCAAGCCGTATGCCAGGCGTGGCCACATCGCCTACCGAGGCAGACATTAAAGGCGATACCAAGGAACCGCGATCTTCCATCGATCCAGCCTCCAGATGGTCAGTTGTCGTGTCGGGCTCTGGTGAACGGCTGCGCGATGGGCCGTGGGACCTCGACTTGACCCTTTTGGGCCTGCCAGTGCTAATAGTATAATAATTCACAAAACGAACACGTGCAACGGGTTGATTTTGCGACGCAGCAGGTCCATGGCTCTGCTGACGGAGCGAGTGGAGTTCGTCAACGTCTTCGAGGGCGCGGATCCTGCTGTAGCGTGAGTTGAGAGTGGGATAGTCTGCAAGGCAGCCGCCGTATTCAAGATGGGAGAGAACATGGTTTCTGGCTGCGCCGATTACGCCTTCGGACGAATGCTTCTTGACAAAATGTAGCAGTCGCTTCTTGAAGGGCTGTTCTCTGAAGGGGACGTCGTTAAAGTAGGACGGGTTGAAGAAGGGGTCATTTGAAGGCTGGGGTGAGATCGACGTTGTGGAGCTGTTGTCAATGGAAGAAATCTGGTTGATCGATGTCGTGGAACCATATTGAGAGGGTTCAGGACTTGCTGTTCCAGAAAGTATGGGACTCAATGTTGTGGAGGGTCCCGCTCCCGGTTCGGGGGTTTCGGGGGGGCTGGGGTTGGACCGGAAAAGACTGCTGATGCCCGAAACGATGATACCTGGATGAAGCCCCAAGAAAGGGGAATCAAGAGAGATGGTCCCCAAGAGACGATGTTTCAGAGGATGCGACGAGTAAGGGTCACGATTGGGCTGCGAAGAGGTTAGCTTTGAGACACTCTGTATGGTAGTGAGTGGGTAATGGAATACCATCAGAGCAACATCAGCGGCCAGTAATCCTCCCATGGAGTGGCCAACGAGAACAATGTCGGTTGTAGGACTCTCGTGTGGTTGCAGCCATGAGCTAAAGTTGTCTCTGGCAAGCGTAATAGCCTTGTATGTCTTATACCGGGGATATATCTTGGAGTGAATGACATAGTTGTCACTCAGCTCATTCTTGAGGTAATTGTGTACATGAGCAGGGAAGGACTGAAACGACTGGTCGTTGCCGTAAAAGCCATGGATGTAAACCACAAGCAAAGTCCGCCTTGTCTCAGTATCATCTGCGCCAACGAAGGACGGTGTCAGTGATTGAGTAGATGTTTGTCGAGGGTCGGGAGCGAGGAATCGGTTATCCCCTAGTCCGTCAACAAAGGAATAGGCGGGAGGAAGAGAGTGACCAGACTCCCGTGACGAAGACCGTGCCATGTGCGCGTCGGTTCCGGATACCAGGACCAGAGCCGGAAAATCGGGATGATAGAAAGTCTTAGGGGACGGGCGCGTCGGCGGCTTAGCGGGCACCGTACGCTCTGGTAGTGGAGGTCGGGATCGGGGACGGTGTCGGTCTCTTGGTGGGAGACCTGTCACATCTGTGGGGATCTCTGTGACGTCAGCTTTTGACGGACTCTCCTGGACACACGGCACCGTCACGTGATGGCGGGGTACGACACCTGCCTTCGACTTGCGGTCGGACAAGTCGACAGGGGCATCGTTGTGTAGGGGCTCAGTAGTTTGACAAGGAATCATTTTCGAGATGTTTGACCTGGGCAGCCTGCAAGCTCACCTATGTATCGTTGTTGCCGGCTGTTTGATTATATACCTGAAGTTTTCGCGGCCGGAAAGAGATAGCTTGCGTGGCCGGTGCGGTGCCGACCGGCGCGGCGTCGGACAGGGTTCTCGGGTATCGTATAGCTCGTGTTATGGATGACTTCTTATGCCGACAATAATGGTACGTAGCGATATGTGACCAAGCGTTCGCGATACATGAACCGTTGCAGAAGACAGCCGTAAAAGAAAAGGGGAAGGGATCTCATCGAAAGGTATAATTGTTTCAGGAAAAGTCGATCCCAGGGCAGTATCTGCAGTCTAAGCAACTTGGGAGGTTGCATCCAAGTTTGCCTTCCCTGGCATTTGACGAATGACGGCACGGATACAGGTACGCAGGTTTCCAAGGAGGAGCTTGAGAAGCACTGTCTTTTGGCAAGAACCGCCAGCTAATCAGAGTCAGGCGCATACACCCAAATGAAGCATGCTCTCAACGTGCAGGCCACGAGATGGACAGCATGCAAGGGATTGCTCAAGTCATTGGCTTAAATGCTCGAATAAGCGTAGCGTTTTCATGTACGTCGTCAACCCGCCGCTGACCTTGCCGTCCTCGTAGTCCCTCCATCAGAGCTCAGTCACGTTTTAAAGACCTAGCGAGTGGTCTCCTTGGGCGAACGATCGGCAGGCAGGGTGATTCAAAAAGCCCATGACGACATGTGTGGTGGCCTGCTGTGCAGCTTGCACAAGACAGTTAGGTACCCACCGAATGTCCGTTTGCGCAGATCACCATTGTGGGTCCATTGCGAGTCGCTTGGGGGGCCAACACCCAGCGAGAAATCACCGTCAATCGCGCGAGCAGATAGATGGCACATGCCAGTCCATTTTGGCAAGTGCATCTAGCTGTGAAGGTGTTGTTGCACTGCTTCGTCACGTCCACGACGCGACCGCTCCATATCTTTCCTCTACGCCTCGCATTGGATCGTGTTTCCTCACTTGGCATGATGCACCATGTTGGGCTGGGCGCACGCCGACACCCAAGCACCCACGACCTGAAGCAACCGGCCTGACAGCGAGCCATCCTGGCGTCTGTGCATATGAGGGCCGGTCACTTGGTGCTGCCTTCTCTCAGACTCCACTGCACACATGGACAGGGCCTCTCTCCTCCCGTCCTCGTCGGAATAAAGAAATCTTGAAGAAACAGAACACGATTGTTTCACCTTCGATTAAATCTTCGATAATGGACAGATGCAGGCACCAGCTGATAAACGAAATGGACAGAAATAGCACCGTAACCTTGCACCAACCAACTGCAACAGCCGACAGCGGGCCATAGATACATGGATGGATGGCGGGCCGACGAATACGAGAGAGGCCGCCTTGCTACCGTACAGTAGCACGAGACGGAGGAAAAATCCCACGCACGTTGTGTAAACGAGAAGACAAAAAAACGGGGGCCCATGGAAAGTCTCTGAGCCCCCCCCCCCTCGCCGATAGATAAAGGAGGCCTTTCGCGGAATGGAAACGTCCAATTGTGTTCTGAGAGCATGGATGGGAGCAGAAGGCCAAGGCCGTCCAACGCGTCGCGTCTCGTGCATTGGCTGTTGAATTGACTGACGATGAGCATCGACAGACGGAGCTCTGTAGTCGACACCCAATCCTGGACCACCAAGGCAACAGGCCAGGGTAGCAGGAGTGAGCTTGGACCATCAGCTGCGAGAGGTAGATAGATGTGTGCTCCCCTGCCGCTGTCCTGTGTCTCGCAGGTCTAGCCCCCTGCCCCATTGGCCGATATGGCAGCAAGCGAAATGAACGAAATCTTGCCATGTGAGTGTGTGTTCGAGGGGGAGGGAAGAGGCCCCCAAGCGTCCCCAACGTCCCCTAACGCTTCGAATCAATCCCACTAAAAGGCCCCGAAACTCACCCTCTCCCCTTGCCTCGACTCACAAATCCCGCTGCACCCCGGTCCGACCTCCAGGTCTAGGTCCTCAGATGGTCAAATCTTCAAGGCCTCTTCTGCCCGTGTGGTGGATGTCTCATTTCGTTCTCGTGCCTGCATCCACTTTCATGTGCCCCATCCCATATCCCGCCGCATCCCGTCCTCTTGCCGCTACTGTCGCCGTCGCTGCTGGTGGTGTCGTCTTTTGCTCCATTCCTCTCTGCACCACCTCCCCAGGTACGGGGGCGCTGTTTACACTCATTCGCCCGCAGACACTCTTTCTTCTTCCTCCTTTCACTGTTCTTCAACACCCGACTGAGTCGAGTCTTCGGAGTCGACTGGAAGCCGAATCGATTCGCTTCCGCCCAACGAGTCTAACTCGTAGTGAGATTCGGCCGAACTAAGGGTCGCTACTGAGAATCGCCACATCTTCAGACGGAAACAAAGGCAAACATACCACAAACCCGCCTTAGACAGGCACCACAGGCACGACCCGATCGTCGCATACCTACCTTCTCACAACGTGGACTGGAATCCTACGACAACATAACAGACCATTCCAAAATAAAACTCCACCACCAGCACATTCTTTCGCTTTCACAACAACAAGGCCCCACGAGAGGATGACAGCAGGCATGGACTTCGCCCCCTTCGCATCATCCCCATAGAGCCATAGCCGCAACTTCAGCCTCTTTCCGCCGGCCATTCCCAGGGCAGATAGCCTGCCCCCATCCGCCTAGCTGGACCATCAGTCCCTTCCGTAGATCCCAAAATCCCACGCACGAGGTCGATCACTCGCTCTCACCTCACGACGACATCCACAACTGCATCCGCATTTGCATCCTTCATCCAACCAGCTGGCTCGGTGCCAGCCCTCCGCCACGCGCAATGACGAAGGCACGGCGTGGGCCTTCACTCATTCAGGCCCGCAGCCCTCCCGGCAACAAGAATCACAATCATTTCCATTCCTTACAAAGACGTAGCATTAACACCAACCCTCATATCAACAGCAACAACGACGGCTCTGAGCCGCACCACCAGCATCACCAGCACCACAACCGTCAGGCCCCTGATGCCGCACCAACCCCCGCTGCCGATTCAGCACTCGTCACTCACGTCGTCCAGACCGTCTCCGTCATTCAGATCGTCGACGGCAACGGCGTTCCTGTCCGCGTCCAGACTCAGTTTGCCGAACCTGCCACTGTGGTGGTTGACCCGGTCGCCGGCGTGACCGTCGACTATTCTGTTTACCAGGCTGCTGGCGGTATCCCCACGGCGCAGCCCGAACCTCCTGCCACCCCGGCCCCAGGAGAGGTGCAGCCAGGGTCTGCTCCGAAGCCTGCTGCCGAGCCTGCTTGTCGATCCAGCACCGGTCCCTCAGACGGATTCTCTTCCTTTACCCCGGAGACGAACCCTCCGCCAGAGACCGTTCCGCTCGAATCAGCTCTGTGCTGACCCCGG